CTCTCAGCCTGTAAAACCACCTCAGGACTCCCACAAATGGAGGTATGGCATCAACAGAATGAAGTTATTAAAATTCTTTTTGAGTAGTGAAAATTAATCAAAAGCAAACCACGCAGGGGGGAATGGGAGAAGTATATTCTGAGAGTGTAGAGCAGAAAGAAATTCCTCTGGCTTCAATGTTCTTTATGGCTGAAGAAGAAATTGTGGATTGGCCTCTTGGGGGAGAAAAATGTCTGGAACCCCTCTAAAGGCCCTGCTCTATCTTTCTTTAGAAGCAGCTTGTGGTGATAGCAATGAGATAAAAGCCTATCTAAGCAGTCAGCATGTAAACCAAAGAGGAAGAGGATTTCAGACTTTCAGTCCTGGAATTGGAAACTGTTTGGTCACTGAAAGGGAAGATGGGGCTTCCCTGAAACATGGCCTCTGAGCTTAATCGTATTGGGGTGTCTTGTAAAGGTAAAAAGTAACTTAAAGCAGACCCAAGACACCAACAGACACATTTGGTTTTATTCTGTTTTTTTGGAATGGGATTTTGTGCAAGTGAGAGGTGTTGGATCAATAGCTCTAAGTAGGAACAGAAGAAAATCACAGATGTGCAAACCATGACTTGCCACATCACTAATATGCTTCACTTCTGAGAACTAGTTAGTGAGAACTAGTTAGAGAGGACTTCAATTTTCATGGCTTATTTGTTCTTCATGGTTCTTTTCTGGTGAGTAGCCTGCTGGGCACTGAAAAAGCTGCTACTTATAAGCAGGCAGCCATGCCCATGCAGACAACTGGGGTAGTTAGAGGTAGTTAGGCTATGGCAGCCAGGTCCACTCAGAGAAGCTGGACCAGCTGGGGGATAATTAGCTTTCTTGCTGCCATGGTTCTTGACAGTGTGACCCGTTGGCTGATAAGAAGTATTTTCCCTAACTACCTAAGAACATTATTGAGGATGACATGGACATAGTCAGTAACTGGCTTTCATGGTCAGGGCTTTTAGGAACCTTGGGTGTTTATGCATGTGCTCCAGGAGGGGGGAAGGGGTGTTTTAATTAGCATGGCTCTGAGAGCTGCTCTAATTTAAGCGCGTAGAGTGTCACATGTATCAGTGTCCCTGCGGTGAAAAATGGCAGCTGGAGGCACTGTTAACTAAAGCTCGTTGAACGTGTCATGCTGGAGTGTGGTCATTACCATGCTCCAGCAAACTCAATTAATTGAATTTGCTCTGACACACTGTAATTACAGCATGTCAGAGCAGCCTCACTGCATATGTATAGGCACCCCCTGAGACTCGAGGTAAAGGAATTATAGGCACCTTAGTCTCATTTCTAAGCGCTGCCTTTTCTAAGCTCTGCCTTTTCTGCTGGCATGCCTTTCTGAAACCCATTGCTTGGTTTGTATGAAATACCACCAGTGAAGAGCAGGCCTTGCAGAAACAGACTTGAGTGTTCTGGGATTACAATTAAGCAGCTAAAATGAAGGACATTAAAACCCTATTTTCCCATTTGATTTGCTTCCTCCCCTCAGGATCAGGGTTCATCCAAACTCTTTTGAGATTTGCTGGTTGCTAAATGAAGCCTGGATGTCAGTGATGAGGAATAAAGAGATTAAGGGAGGAAAGGTTTGCTTAAACAGAAGGAAGAACCTTTATAACCCTATGATCAATTAGGCCAGAGAACAGGCTTGCCAAGAGGTGTGGTGAACTCTGCTTCACAGGAAATGTTCAAGCAAAGACATGAGCATCAGCCACTCGAGTAGGGTTAGTGATGTTGGAGTTCTGCCACAGCATATGGGCATAGACTATAACCTTTAAGGGGGTGCATGACATTACAGGTTTCCTTTCTAGATCAAAGTCATTGTGTGAGGATGCACTTCTGCATAACTTACCATGTATGTTCCCAGGATGCTTAGCTCTGCTTCGTATTCCCTGGTTTTTCACAGGAATTGGACACAGTAGTTGACAACTTGACATCCTTTTCAGATGAGTGGTTGGTGGGTCTGGAATGACAGACTGTAAATCCTAGCATTCAGTCACTCACGCATATTCTCACAAATTCACTGTAAAATGACTGGAAGACATTCTCTCTCAGTCTTTTAAAGGATTATTTTTTTCCAGATAACTGATGGCTATTTATTTTGGACAAATGAAATTCTGACTCAGAGGTCAGGTTTGTGTAAAGCTAAAAAGCCTTTCATTCTGGTGCTTCTGTTTTAATGAGTGGAGAAACTCTGCCCACATCAGTTTAAAAGCTACACAAGATCTGAATTAATAGAATCTCTTTCTGCTGTTTCTTCTCTGCTCACTTGCCCTGTCAGGTAGTTTGGTTTCATTGGGATTAAGTCTTCAAATACTACCACTTATGGCAAAGATGGAGCAAGAATGGGTATATGTGACAATGGGAAAACTTGTTTGAATTTTGTGGAGAATCATAAGTCTGGAGCAGTGGCATGTTCAACTGGTACAGAAGACAAAGCTCAGACTTACTCCAAAATGGCCATTTTGCAGTACAGCAGATGTAGGCAATGGAAAGAGTTTGGAGACTCCAGCTTGTAGTAAAATAGAGGCATGGGCGACAGGCGCCTCCTGAGTCAGGGGTGCACTTGCTATCCCAGTAGCTAGTCAGTGACTGGGGGGGGTCCCCCGCAGCTGATCATGTTGACCCAGAAGTGCCAGTGGCGCTGTTCCTGGTGCCCCCACTCCCCAGCCAGTGCTCTCACGGGGGGGGCACCAGCACTCCCACCTGCTCCCCCACTCATTGCCTAAGTGGGAAACGCTGGCTGTCAGGGGATGCACCAGCACTCTCAGGGGGTGCATGTGCACCCCTGTGCATCCCTACACATCACAACTGAATAGAGGAGAACACAATTCTCTGCTATAGTGAGGGCTGCCAGTGATATCCTAGGACAGACCAGAAAAGTGTATTATAAAGCATACAAATTTTTTTAGGACATATATGAAGCCATGGTGAGATCCCTTCAGGAGTCTGTGGCATAATACTTCCACAGTGCTGTACATTTTCTACAGAAAGCCAGAAAAGACTTATTAAACTGACTGCAGTCATGGTGAGGGATTTAGCTATGAATGAAAAGCTTTCAGAGTCAGAAGTGTGACTAAGTAAAAATGAACTTCTGTACTCAGCATCTTTGCACCATAGATTTTAGTCATATCTGCTGACTTTGACAACTGCATGTTGTTTTAGTTTTATTCTCCCTACATGGCCAAAACAGTTTTGGCGGAGTGAGCAGGCTTCAGCTCTACCTAGTGCATCAGCAGTACAAATATTAGCTGAGTTTTGATTGCAGAGACTGTATTGCAGATACTGATGTGAGAGGCAAAAGCCACCCAGATTAATTGTCAGGTCCCAAACAGAACTGGCAGCTATACTGGTGAGAGGAATTTTATTTGAACTTAAGAGCTGAGTAGATCTGACCTGGAGTTGGGGAGAAGGGATGCATAATTTATGCCCAAATGCCTAAGTTAGAGAGTCACTTTCATGACTATATTCTTTAAAGGTGAACTCTGGAGCACAGATTCAAATGAAATTAAGCTTACTTAGGCTGTAGAAGGCATTTGCTACCAAAATATATGACTCTTTTTTCAATCCTTTCCCCCTCATCTCTTGATGATCCTAAGAGCACCTCTGATTTCACAAAAATGCATGAGTTTGTGATATAAATCATGTACTTCATAACAGTTGTAACGTGTGTTCAAGGATATCACTAGTGAACCTGGAATATATAAAAAGGAATAGATTGACATTATTTCTGTGCCAAATGCTCCCGCATAGCTTGGTTAGTGAGAGGATGTCAATACTGAAATCCTGGTTTATCTCTATTTCCACATCAGCTTTGCAGCTCACATCTAAGTTCTACAGAGTTTGGAATTGAATGCACCACAGACAATCTTCCTGTTGAGTACAAATACCTAAAAGAAACTTACTGAGTATTGAGCATGATTCTGCCTTATGGGAACTAATTGCTATCAAGGGAGCAAGTAGAAACAAGACATATTCCAAAGTATAGGAGCAATAATGCACTTTAGCAGGATCTTTTCCCCAGATGGCGGGTTCTGTTTTGGAATTTTCTGTCCCCAGTGGTACTGGCAGATTCTGATGCTGGACTGTGAGAAAAGAAGAGAGGATAAATTGTTATAAATAAGCTGAGATGTATTATTTTACATGCAGAGAATTAAGCTAACTGTCATATCTGGGCTATGGAAAGATTATTATTATTATTTTTTTTACTGATGCTCTATTTGATCATAATGGCAGGCACTTGAAGGGAATGGCAATATTAGCTTTACTCTGGATAGTGAAACAAGGATTGTTCATTAGGCTCAGCTGGGCATTTTAGACCTGTTGTTTGTTGTTTTTTTTTCTTTTGAGTGACTAAAAATGCAATTCATGCAGAAAGGCAAGATAACTGTCCCAAGGAGCATAGAAGAGAAGTAGATAAGGTTCTTTGGGTAAATCTGCTATCTTTTATTAGACCAACTCAAATAGTTGGAAAAATTCTTCTTTGCAACCTTTTGGGTATAAAAACCCTTCATCGGGTTGAGGAAGCACCTGCAGTTGGTGTGTGCTCTTCCTGGATGCAATGAACCTTAGACCAACATGGCTATAACTTATACCCCTAGAAGATAAGTATGTGCTCTGAAAGCTGTACATTGGAAAGCCATAGATTTCATTAGCTTCTCATACCTCACCTTTGTTTCAGACATTGTTGAATGAGCTAGACCGAAGCATGGGGCGATATCGGGATGAAGTGAATCTAAAAACAGCCATCATGTCCTTTATCAATGCTGTTCTGAATGCAGGTGCTGGTGAGGTGAGTCGCTGTCTTGGATATTACAGCTAAAATGGAACTTTTCCTATGGAATAATTTTACCTTGGAAATGGCAGTTAGACTGAAGTGCAAATCTTACTGTACTATTGAACTGTCTTGTATTGTGGTATAACCCCTTGGGTTAGTTTGACCTTCTAACCATGCTCTTCAACATCTTCTATTTTATATCAATCCTGACATCATCCCACAAGCCCTTCAGATGCAGCAGAAACTACCAACCCAATCTCTACCCTCCTTCATATTTGGGCAGTTCTCCTGTACCTTGCCAACCTTAACTTACCACTCTGTCCCTCTTACCCCACACAAGTGTCTCAGTGTATCTCGCTCCTGATCTGCATTGTCTTGTGCTTAGTTCTCTTGCATCCAGGCATCTCTGCCAGCAGAGTTGATTATGAAACAGTTTCACTCTCTGATTAAAAGCTGTAAGATGAGGAATATTTTTCCTATCTCAAGCTGGGAGATAAAGTCAGGGGAAAAAAATAGTAATAAAAAAATTTTTGTTTCAGTAATTGTGAAATATTTTGTTTGGATTATGGCCTTTTAAGATTTTAAAATCTTGTTTTAGTCTGAATGTATTAAACTCTCAAAATGGAAAGTCATTTCGACTCAACCCCCTTCCCCACCCAGATTTATGGTTGTAAATATAATTATTTGACTTGTATATCAAAATGGGGTGTCTTGACTGTTTGAAACTTTTTTTCCCTAAAAAAAAAAGGCTGAAACAGTGATCCTGTTTTGTGAACAGTTCTCACTTCAAGGCAGCCACTGATGGTAAAACATATTGGGAAAAAAATCCTGGTCAACTTTCTTTACCAGTGTACCTGAGTCTTTTACCTGCAGCTTATTTTTACAGCAGGGACTACCAGGTGTGCCAGAATTTCTGATGGGTTTATGATGTACATACATAGGAACTTGGAAGAAGCCTTTAAATTCCTTTTCATTGATGATCATGGCTGGAAGTGGCCTGCTTTTAGCTTATAGGATAACTACTAATTGTTTTGCTTTTTCTCTGTCCTCTGTTGGGCAATTTGTAGAACAGTGGTAGGTGTCTGAAATGCTGTCCTTCTAGACAGATATGTGGAATGGCTCATAGCTATAGGAGAAGCGTTTGAAGGGAAACAGCAAAGCATATAGTTACCCTAATATGGCAGAGAACCTAATTTGAACTTTTTTATGGGTAGAGGGAGCTAGATTTTGAGAGAGCTTCTGAGTAGAGAGAGGGAATGTGAGCCTACCTGTGAACTTAAAAAAGCAAGACAGGCTATATTAAAAATGAGAAACAAATTTTAATTGTATGTGTCTTAATTTAGTTTTTTGGTGTCTAATGCATCTTTTCCCTCTTTTAAGGACAACTTGGAATTCCGGCTACACCTACGATATGAGTTTCTAATGCTGGGAATTCAACCTGTTATTGACAAGCTAAGAGGACATGAAAATGCAACATTAGACAGGTGAGGCATGTTTTTTGGAGAATAATTCCTGAAGTATGGAACACCAGTAGCTGCTCTAGAACTTTTTCCATCTGAGTTTGATATCAATCTGAAGACAACCCTTTTCTCAAAAATTGACAAAAACAGGTACACCATCCTTGAAACTGGTATACTGGCTGTCAAGGCAATATAGGGTTTTTTTTGGTATGAAACAGAAAGTGGACTGTATGAGGATTTCCTGAATTATGTCCTTGTAAAGTGGAGGTAATGAGCAGAGTCCAAAAATTCTTCTAATTTTTTGCCTTTTTTAATTTCAAAAAGCAAACAGCAACAGTACAACAGCTGACAGAAGAGAAGTACACGGCCAAAGTTCAATAGCTTCACTCAGTCAAGATCTAGTTCACAGGGCCAGAGTTCTTGTTTTGAAATGCTGATGCAGTGACGGAAATTAAGTTATCTGCCAATTCTATAGCTTGCCACAACCACTGAGACAGCTAATGGATTTAAATATTTAGAATAACAAAACTGGGCAATTTGACTAAGGCACATGAAGGACTTATTAAATTCTACACAACAATGGGGAGCCCATGGAAACTCATCCGTTTAATAAAATGAAGCTGTACAGGACAACTTAGGAGGTCTGGAAGGAGGGTGATAATGAGAGCAGGTGGCTGTGAAGCAAATTCTGTCTTGCATCCCACATAAGTTCCATAAAGAGAATAACTTTGAAACTGTGCTGTTCCAGCCTCCCCTCTCCCCTCTCAGTGCAAACAGCCCTGAGCTGCCTGTGAAATTCAGCCACTTTGGGCCAATGGCCTCGGTGTGCAGGATCAGGCCCCTGAAACCCACATGTGTGCCTGCCCAGGTTTTGCTATTTGCTGAACCACATCCTGGCACAGCTGGTCAGCTTCATTTGGCAACATCTGTTTAGAGTCTGACTTGGCATATGGAAATATGTTGCTAGGTTTCTCTTTTTATACACATATTTAAGCAGTAGCACTACTGGGCCAGATTATGTCCTGTTCTTCTGCTCTAAAGCTGGTCAAAGAGGGGAATTCAGTGCTCTTGCTCTGCATTTGCACTCTTCTACATAAATGAGTTTTTGGCCCTTTGGCACAGTGACATTTCTGTATCCCTGTATCCTGCTCAAACTCAGGAAACTTCAGTAGGAAGGCAGAGGAGTTTCTGTATTTTGCAAGCAGCAGTGGAGCAGGGTGAATCTAAGGGCCTTAGATTCACCCTGCTCCATTGATGGTTATAAATCCAGGGCCAGGGGACCCACTGTGGGCCAGATGGAATCCCTTGGCAGTCCAGATCCAGCCTGCGAGCTGTATTTTGCCCACCCCTGGGTTATAGACACACCCTAGAAACCTTGACATTTTCTCTGGTACAAGTTAAAAATGGAACAGGGTATTAACAGATTATTTTGGCAATCTGGCTAACGTGCCAGGCAAAGGACATTTCTAAGAAATCCATCTGCAGCAAGTGATATTAGATCAATTATTATACCACCTATCACATGACTTCCCTCTCCCCCCCCATTTTTAGGCTATAGAAGCAGCAAGCACTTCAATCTGTAGATTTAAATGCAGATTAAAGACCAGATACATCTTCGCCCATCCACTTCTCCCAGAAAATCAATTAATCCCTGTGAAATACCCTGAATAAATATTTCAAGGACAGTCCTGTATCTCAGGGGCTGGGCTATTATTTCATCAGTCCAGTCATTATGGAAGTCCTTTGTTAGAAAACAGTTTCTTTTCTCCCTGATTAGTTCTTCAGTCTAAGTGAGAATTGTGCCATGAACATTGGTTGGATTTGTTTTTCTTTCTCTTAGGCACTTAGATTTTTTTGAGATGGTCAGAAATGAAGATGACCTGGAACTTGCCAAGCGGTTTGATATGGTAAGTTTTCCACAGGGGAGCTGGAGTTGCCAGAAGCTGAATATCTACTTTGGTTGCCGAATGCAAAAGCCTACGATTTTCCCATGCTGTGAGCAAGGAGTGGCCTTGGCGGCTGAAGGGGTGTTGGATGCTCTTGTGATCACTGTTTCTCATTTAGGGGGTAGGGACCATGACATGTGAACATTGAAAACATTAACCACTGGCATTGCTCCTGCCAAAGGTTTTGGACAAGGGCTTTTCTTTCCTTGCATTTTGCTGGGAGTTCAAGAAAAGAACAGGGCAGATGGAGGACGACTATGTTCTTATTAATGATGGGCCCAAAACAGAATCCTGGATGCAAACAGAATTCAGCTCTGGATGTGGGTCAGGGCCATTTCTGATTATTATTGATTTATTAAAAAAAAATCAGAAACCCCAGGATAACCTTATTAAGGCTCTCACCTTAATACCCCCTCTCTCAAATTCCCATGTATTTTTGGAATCATTGGGTAGTGTGAAGGCACACAATGTAGTAACAGAAAGAAATAATTGGATTAAAGCCATGAGTTTCTTCAGTGCACTATGATCAGCCTTTGAGAATGCTCTGTTTATGGTCACTAGAGTGAGGTCTGGCAGTGCTGAGGCCAAATGCCCATGTATCTCCCTGCCTGGATCCCAACTCCCACTGTAGTCTATGTTCTGGAGCATTGTGAGAGGCTGCTCAACTCTTTGGGTTTTTTCCATCTCTACCTATAAAAAATTTTAACTTGTGGTTTAGTTTAGTCTTTCACTATTTTTCTTTTCTCTTTCACCCACTGTTTTGCTGCCTTTCTTCACTTCAGATCCATATTGATACCAAAAGCGCCACTCAGATGTTTGAGCTGATCAAGAAGAGATTGAAGCACACAGATGCCTACCCCTATTTGTTATCAATCCTTCAGCATTGCTTGCAGATGCCTTGTGAGTACATCACTGCTTTCCCAGAGCAGTGGGCAAGGGAGGAAGTGAACAGGAGCTTTGGTAGAGGTGAGAGATGACAGACCACAAAAAGAAAGGACAAGTTGTCTCTTTGGCTTTCATTCAGATGTGCGTGTGGTTGAAATGAGCTGGCTTTTAATATTGATCCCATCCAGTGGATTTTGTAAGGTTTTAATACATCAAGTTGGAGGCTTGACCTCTTTGCCCTTGCAAACAAAATTAACTATCTGGGGGCCTTCCAGCTGGTCACAAACAGAGCTTTTTTTTAGTTTTAAATTAGATGGCTTAGGGGAGAAAGAAAGAACTTTTGTCCTCTGGGTCTGGGAACTCCCCAGAGTAGGCGCCATTTTGAATTTTAACAAAATGAAACAAGGAATTAAACAAATCAAATAAAAGCTTCACTGTTGATGGGAAATTCCACAACACATGTGCATTTGGCCTTTGTGCTCATGGCAGCGTATGAGTAAAGGGCTCTCAAACTCTAACTGGAAAGTACCATTAGCAGTTTCTTTTCAGTGGGAGATGATATCAATAATTATTTGATTAAATCATAAATACAATAATGGCTGATGCTTCAAAAAGGTGGTGGCCAGAGAAAAGGCCTACTACGGGCCCCTTGCACAACTATATGAGCACCTTTTAGGAATGTGGAGCTGTTGGACTGCTAGAGATTGATTGTAGTGTTTCAGTCATCCTTGAGCAGTGAACCAGGGCAGGGAATCTCAGGAATAATAACTCTATGCCATGCCTTTCCAAAGGGACACAATGCAGTAAGGGGCAAATGTTGGATGTTAAATAGTCACCCACAGACCCAATCCACTGTCACATACTGAGCTCTTTAGCATTGTTCAAAGCAACACATGAACTTTGGATGTTCAGGGAGACCCCAGCATGTGCTATAGAAGGAGGGATAAATTGTGATGGGCATGTTGTCAGGAGAGTCGCAGTGCAAAAATTTACTGAAGTGCTTCCTAAAAATAGCTTGAAAGGGTTAAATTTGAAATCTAATAGGCTAATGCACAGCACGTTTCCCACTGCTGTGCCTACACAGTACGTAGTTCTGCCCTAAAGGGATCCTGCCCTTCTAATAGATACCTAGTGGGTAAGTCTCCTTTTATACTTTGGTAACACTTGGATAGCATGTTATGCCAATCAAGTTTTACTGAATGCAGATAATTCACTATGCAGATGGCAAACGTAAGTATTTGCTAAATTCCTGATCACTGTGGGATCTTGGTACCAAAAACAAATGACAAGCCCCAGCAAATCTCAAAGTCAGGACCTGGACTTGTGGAGCTACTTCTATAGGGCAATGTATGCATGCACTTACCTTGATCTGCAGAAGGAAGTGCCTTGTTTCAGCGTGCAAGTTAGCTGCAGGTGTCTGTGTGCACTTTTCATACTATTTTGGTTTGAAAGGCATTTGCACAGTTTATGTAAGCAACTATATAAGGTGAAAGGCAGTGTTCTATAATTGACCAGTTATAAGATGTTGACAATTCCATTGACTTTGTTAAGATGGGTACAAAACAGGTAGGGGTATTGGCTCATTGTCTGGGGATGAGCCAGTTACAAACACTTTCACATGGGAATAAAAGCACTTTTGTGTTTGGTTTCTCTCCCTGAAGATAAGCGGAATGGGGGAAATTTCCAGCAATGGCAGCTGTTAGATAGAATACTACAACAAATTGTTCTCCAGGATGAGAGAGGGGAAGATCCAGATACAGCTCCGTTGGAAAACTTCAATGTCAAGAACATTATCAAGATGTAAGCACAGTGTTTAATCAGTATCATTCATTTATTTTATACAGGTTGCAAGTGATGCTTAATAAGTCAAATATCATATCCCTGCTCCGAGAAGCATATGTCTCATTTATATTTTATTGACACCTGTTAATTTTCTTGTCATGAAATTTTAACTAAAGTTTTCTTGTCCCATCTCTTTTGTGAAAATGTTGATGAACCCTCACTCACTGAAGGCTTCTTGTGTTATGCCAGTCTATGATAGATACATACATCATATGTATAGATATGATATGATACGATAGATCCCATACATCATACAAGCCAGTTCTCTGGTTGGCTCTTTCTGTCCGACATACCTTGCACATCCCTGCATCTTCCAGTTATAAGCAGTTTGATTGTACTGCACATGTGGATGGCTGCTGAGGACAATTCATGGTCCATTAGGTCTTGGGTGAAATCACTATGAAGTGTTTTGTGATGGACAGAAAAAAAACCATCCTGTAAAAACAGATCTGATCCTATTACATATTTAACAGTACTTTCTCTAATGACTGTGAGCCAGAACTAGTTGATCTGAAAAGCACACTCTAACTGACTACTTTCTTTACTCCCAGTATGGGACCTCTCCACACACTCTGTACCTCATCACCTGTTGCTTGTTTCATGGCTACTGCTCAAGCTGTGTATTTAAACTATCTCTATCTTGCACTATTTTTTCACATCTAAGCCAGTAGGACAGAGAAATGTTGTCTGACAACACTGATTCGCTCTCAAAAATGTAGCCACTCCCTGTCTCCCTACCAGAAAGAAAAACCCAATTGCAAAAGGGCAGTAGGAGAATGGCAACTGAGTCTTTAAACAGAACAGGACAATAATTTGTGATCAGCAGTAGTAGTATTTCTAGCTCTGAGTAACTTGATGAAAGCAAGTAGATTGTATAGCTCAAGTTATCCATCACCAGAAAATAGATTAGAAAGGCTGCATGGCCTTGGCATCCTCTTGTATAGCTTGGAATAATAGTGGGATCACTTTCTGTAGCGTCAGATATTAACTATAGTGGGAAGATGGGTATTGAACTAAATTGAGAAATGACCTGATCTTGTGCAGAAATACTACGTTACATATGTGACATCATTTGCTAATTATTTTAATTTGCGAGTAGTTGCTTATAACAGTTTCTTAGCTCAGTTTGGATCATGAATGATCTGGTCTCACCTTTCAGGCTGGTGAACGAGAATGAAGTGAAACAGTGGCGGGATCAGGCAGAGAAGTTCCGAAAAGGTAAGTGCGCTCCCTGGGTTTGGAGGTGAGAGGGAGGATACAATATAATTTCAGAATGACAGACAGTAGAATTGGAAAACATGTGCTGGGTCATCTGGTTTGTCTCTCCTGGGGACCAATGCTTGATTGTTTTCTGGAGTTTAAATTTTCCCAGTTCTCAGCCAGACTCATTAAAATGACTTGTGTAATGGGGCTTCCATCACTTCTCAGGGGAGAAGTTTGTGAAGTCTCTCTCCAGAAATGCTTCCACACTTTTGGCCTACATTTTTCCTTTCCCTAATTCCATCCCATTGCTCTTAGTGATAACTCCCAAACATAACTAATAGGTTTCAGGTACTTATAGACATTTATCGCTGTTTAACTTGCACCTCTTTGGAGGCCATTCACAGGCTTTGTTGCATCAGGAATGCTTCTGCATTCTCCCTGCACTGCTTTCTCTAGAACACACAGAGCTGATGATCAGGCTGGAGAAGAAGGAGCGGGAATGTGAGACAAAAACCCAGGAGAAAGATGAAATGATGAAGACATTGAACAAGATGAAAGACAAACTGCAGAAGGAATCCTTGGAGCTGCGCCAGACCCGGGATCAGATGAATGACCTGGTAGTTCAACTCAGTGAGTTCTCGGTACGAAATTGGGACTTTTCCTCTCCCCCTTTAAAACACAGAAGCAAATAATGTGAAACCAGGGTTATGTTTCCTGTACAAAGGGCATTTAAAATGAGAGCTGCAAACAAAAAAAAGCGTAAAAATTGAAGAGGTAGGCCTGCAGTAGGGACAAAGTACCTTCCCTGGTAGGTGTTACCCAGGTCAACATCCATGTTCCTTTCTCTCTTTTCAACCTCTCTCTTCATTTAACCATGCACTAAAATTGAGAGAGAGAGAGAGAGATGCACCTCTCCCATTTCACCCAGCACAGGAGATAACCATCATTTGTACTGAAAACACCAAATGAAATGTGGTTGAGTAATGGTGGTGCTCCTCTTGCCAGGGGTGGATGGGAGAATGGAAATGCTGACACTAATAGGTATAGGGAATATTGGGAAGAGGCATGCTTCTTGTGGGGCCTTGGGAAGGGCTGTAGCTGCCTTGATGCATTGTTAAGCATCACATTTCCAACCTGTCCTTCCTCCCTGATGCCATTTTTTTTCTCCACTCCCAACATGCCTCAACTTCCTGGAGCTGAGGCACAGCCCTTAAGAGCTAAGTCACTACAAATAGGTGCTTTGTTCCCCCCTTTGTGTTCAGACCATTGGGGGTGGGGGGAGTTAGCAGTTGACATTTCAGACTGTAACATTCCATCTTCGTGCATCAAACCCTTAAAATTCATGGCTTGGCTTAAGAAAAAGCACTAGCCTTTTCATTTTCTTAAACAATATGTATTGTTCTTTTACTCACTTTCTGGTTTCTGAGGTGTTTATGATTCCATTCTCAAGCACTCCTCAACCATTGGGTAGGCTGGAAATTTTCCCTCTTAAATACAGGCTGAAGTTCTTCTGTGGTCAGGTGGCATCATGGCTTCAAACGTGGGCATCTTCAAACATCCTGTACTGCTTTTGTTTTTCAGCAAGGGGGAAGTATTTCCTTCTCGCCCCTACCCCCGCCACCTCCTGGTGGCCCATTGGCTGTGTCCTCCTCTGTGATGTCAGAGAGCTTGCCACCCCTTCCACCGCCTCTCCCATTCTCCACTTGTCCTCCTCCACCTGCACCGCCACCACCGCCAGGAGGACCTCCTCCACCACCTGGAGCCCCACCTTTCTTCAGCATGGGGATGCCACTGCCTACCACAACCACCTTCAGCAGTACTGGGACCAGCTTGAAGAAGAAATCTATCCCTCAGCCTTCGCACCCCCTGAAATCCTTCAACTGGGCCAAACTGAATGAGGTAAGATATGGGAACCCTGTCAGCACATACTCTGTGTTAGTTAGGAGGTCACCAGAATTGGCTGGTGCAATAGAGGCAATGTCCATGGTAATAGAAGTGGTGGATGCCCTCATGCCTCTCTTCAGCTGGAAGGGAGGCATTTCCTGCAGGCCATAAAGATATCAGCAGTGTATCTCATCCCTGATGGACAGCCTTTGTAGTGAACAGAGCACTGCCTAGACTTTTCTGCATCAGTTCCAGGTGTCTCTGTGATGAGGACACAGGCACAGGAAGTTTTAATGGTTCAGATCAGAACTAGATGTCTTCATGGCTAAAGCACAGAGAGCCTCATCCTGCTTGCTGGACATTAAATCCATGAACTGTAACCAAAGCACCTTGTGGGCTGTGCATAAGGCAGAACCAGTTCTCAAATGAGCTTCCTTTACCCTGTCAGGGAAAACTTGGGAATGGGCATTGGTCCATCACTCTCATTACTCATTCTTTTCATGGCCACACCTAAACTCAAAGAACTGCCCCTCTCACAGTTAGACCCTCAGCTTTTTCCCATTATACTCTTCCATAGGGCAAAAGAAGTCCTAAGTGACACTGCAGTAAGAAATGGAAGAGAATTCAGATTGATTCTTCAATGGCTCACTCCTTTTCTGCCACCTCTTCAGCCTCCCTCACCCCTCTGCTTCCTCCTTCCTCCTGGATTTTTTTTCTCCCCTTCTTTGTCTTTTCTTTTCTTTTCTTTTTTTTCACAGATAAAAAGGTGTCTGTGTTGAGTTTGGATGGCTGCCTAGAAACCCACGTTCTTTTTTAGACTGAAGCTCACCCGGGGCCCAACTCAGGCATTCAGAATGAGTGTCCGGGGACCTCTGGAATGCCGCAAGAATTCTCTCTCTCTCTCTCTCTCCCTACTTTTCTTTAAAATAAAACGAAGTAAAATAGCTGCTGTACTGTCTGTGCTTGTCTGTCAGGGCCACGTGGGGGTGTGGGAGAGAATGTAAGAGCAGGGATTTATTTTCCTTTTCAGAACATGGGACTTAGTGCTCTGAAGAAAAGCAATAATTACAATATAGATATATTTTAAAAAATGGGAGACAATCACAGGTGTTTCTGTTTAGTGTACCGTAACCACAGGCTTAGCCTGCCCTCTGGTTAAGAGTGGAGGCAGCTGTGCTAATAAATTTGAAGGCCTCAGTTGTGAGGTGGGTGAAAGATGCTATTTTGGGGAAAGCAAAATACTTTTGAGGGTCTAAGGGAAAGGATTTTCCTATTAGAGCATTTGCCAATATGAATAATTTGACCTTGCAAGGTGTCTATAGATTCCAGAAGTGATGCTGTAGTCAGGGGGGAGTAGCTGGATCTGCTTTTTGGGGCACCTTTTGTCTTGGTATCAGTCGGCTTTGATTGCAGTAAGGCAGAACTCATTCACTAGTTCCTTACTGGGCACTTTGCTCACTCCTGTGGGTGACAGCCTACAGGTTTTAATCTTGCCTTCACAATGAAAGGTCACAAGTCAGACCACTGATACAGCATAATGGATCTGTTTTTCATTTTATTTATTTATCAGCATTTCTATAGCACTTGTTTCCCATAGTATCCAAGTGCCTAGCAAATACTGACAGTCTTGTTATATTGCGGGGGTCATAACTGTATTTTAAAGTTGAGGAAAGATGTACACAAAGGAGTCAAGTGTTGTTGTTATAGGTGGGGCAGAGGGGTAGAGGAAAGTTTGCATTGCCTGTAACGTACCTGCTCCTTATATAAATAGAGGGGATTGGATACTTGAGTTGGCACCTTTCACTTGTGTTGTTACCAGTCGCGGTGGTGGGATAGAACCATCCTATTGTGTATTATGAGAATGCTCAGATGTTTCTAGTCTTACTGTCTAAGCACGTGGCAATAATAAATTGTATTCCACAATTCCCAGGGGCGCTGGGAAAGGGAAGTCAAGAGGAGCTTAGTTGGCAGACATGCCTTCTAACAAGGAAACTACCAGCCACATACTAATTTCCCCAGAGATTGACAGTCTGTTAGCTTTGTTCTGAGTTGATGGCTAGTTGTCAAAGATGCCATGTCACTAGTGCTTTCTAAAAAGGCAGAGCATTGCAGTATAGCCATTGTGATTCCTAGAAAGTTTTCCTTCTTTGTTCCCGGAGGTTGCTGATCCTTACCAATGGTTCACCCGGGATTCTACACAAGGCTCAAAGGCATACTGGAACCAGAGACTCGTTGTTCATTTTAATGACAGACGAGATCCAGTCATTCTGGACGTTTGGGTCCGGATGTAGATTGGATTTTAGTTAGCTCTCTATCAGTATAATAAGTTGGCATAGGGAGGGCCAACCTGCAGCATGCCACCCACAAATGACATGGGCAGCCTCTGTGTGGCACACAGCACACCAGGGAGGGGGAGGCAGTACAGCAGCAGATAGGGCAGAAAGCAGAGTGGAAGGTCGGGCAGGGGAAGGTGATCAGAATGGGATTCAGGGAGGTTGTAGAGCTAATTTGTCAAAAAAGTTGACCCCTACTAAGTTAGAATATTCATTTGAAGCTGTCTGAGTAACCTGAGTCAGCCTTGACTTGCCTTTGTCTGTGATTATTGTTTTCTGGTGACTTCACACTACAGAGTTCTTCAACGTTTAGTAGTCAGTATACAGATGAACTAAAACAGACTGTCTGTAGTCAACTCCCGATGGCTGAGATTGTTCTGAGATTCTCTCACTGGTTTTTCCATGTCTACCATAGCATCTACATAGTCAAAGAAAAAAATCCCCCACATTTTAACAAAATAGAAGTTTACCTTGAGATCTGAATTTATTTCAGGACTGTGTAATTATCTTCTTTTGTGAAAATGGCAAATGAGTCATGCAGATATGGAATCTGCCGCTTCCATTGTGAACAGTTGCCTTTGCTGGTGGAAACTGGAGAAATAAGATAACTTCAATATTGTTTGTCATTGTAGAAAAACTTTGATTTAGCCCAAGGAAAAGAAGCCAGTAGTTTTTTCATAAGTTATTCATAGAATTGGATTATTGGATCTCCTGTTTTGATGGGTAAAGCAGAAGTCTCTTAGAGAGCTCTGTCCCATAGGAATATTATTGATGAACTGCCACTGAAGTTGGAAGGAAAGATTCTGCTTTCCCACAGGAAAAAGCATGAAGGATGCTAAGGCTTTCTTTAGTAAAGAGCTCCTTAAATTAGCCTCAGTACCCCAGCAGACAGTGCTGGCCCCTATATAGTAATGTAGGGTAGACATGAGCTTTCCAACATTGATGGAAAGTTTTCCATAGAATCTCAGTGCTCACAGTGATCTTGGGTAGTGCTTTGCCATTAAAAGAGACAAAATGGCTGCTGTCAAGTTGAAAAAGTGTCAAAAATAGAAATTTGAAGCCAGTTTTTTTTCCTTGAAATGGGCCCAAGATAGGTTTATTTACCCTGGAAATGAACACATTTTTCTACCCCATTTTCAAGTTCATAGTGGAATGAACTCCAGTTTCAAGCAATTTCCCTTTTTCCATTGTGAGTATTTTATGCTTGTCTAGGGGATTGCCTTTTACAAAATGAATAGGACGCTCCTGATTTTCATGCGTTTCTCTTGACTTGCAGGGGGCCCCCAAAATGATATCATTGCTCACTCATGCTGGGATGTTATACTGATGTCTGATGGTGTTTGATGACTTGAGGGTACAGTTATTAGTCTAACAAGACAAATGGAAACAGCTGGGCAGATATGAAGGAGGACAAGGCAGTATGACTTCCCACTCCATGCCACCCCCTAGCTTTGCTGTACTTAAAATCCTACAGTTGTTCCAGCAGGCTGTGCTTCATTTCAAGCATGCAAGTGCAGAATGAAGTACATGCCACTGGGATATAAATGTAGCCCATTAAAAGACCCTATCTCAGTAGTGCAAATTCCCAGCTAATCACAGTGTTTCTCAAACTAGCACTTCCCCCTCATTTTTTAGCTAATCACTTGGGGACACTGGGAAATGTAGTTCATGAGGTTGGCTTCTCAAAATGGGCCAAGACTTGTGCAAAATAGGGAAACCACATAGATTGGCAGGCTTGTAACCAAAAGAAAAAAAAAGAATTAGCAAAGGAGGGAAATGCACGTAATAGATGAAGTGATCTTTCTTCGGGGGAAGGGAGAGAAAGAACAAGTAAAATAATTTATTTTATTTTTAAATTGTTAGTTGGGGACCATAAATATTTTTATGGAGCTGAGGGAATCATTTATCATACCAAGCACACTATGTGAGTCTGTTTCTCTTAAAATGCTCAGTCTCTCTGGCTGATGACAAGAAACTATCAGCCAGTTAATCCATAATGGAGCAGCAAGAGTACAGCAGAGGAAATTGTCTGGCAGCAATGTGCAACTTTTCAAGGGCAGAGCTCATAACAAGAAAAGAAGTGGCAGCATGTGTGTGTGTACACGCGTGCGCATTGTAATGAATACTGTTTGTATACACCCACCTCTCTGTCCAGTGTCTTTCTTCGACTGTATTACCGGGTATGCTTTTTCAACATTTAAGCTAGGCTAGCTGGGAAGAAAGGTCTTTTGCACTCACCACTGAGACTAGTTCTGGTTTGTGAACTGTTTTTTTAGGTTTATGTAATATGCAGCAAAGCAGCTTTAAATAAGACCATGCTCATCCTGCATCTTGGAAGGAATCTTATTTGGACTTTAAAGTAATAGTGTTCCCTGGGGGAGGACTGGGGAAAGTGATTATTGTATTCTCTTTGCAGTTCTTATTTCCAAGCAGATCTGAAATCTGGTGAGGCTAGTTTATAATACATTCTCACAGGTCCTAGTCACGCAGACTTTGTTTTTGCTATAGATTTCCAGCCTGGTATCTAGATCAACCGAGTCTGTGCAAATAGCTGTAACTTTGGTCCAGGCACCCTCAGGGATTATTAATGCAGTAAGGTCCAGAGTTGCTCATGGATGTCTCTGCCCACCCTATAAAAAAGCACAGCCTCAGGTCCCAATTAGCAAGGGGACAACCAGAAAAGGCAGTATACTTCAGAGAATTATCCAGAAATATGGACGCTGGTCTAGAACTTTTGGAAACTGCCAAACTAGGCACACAGTCTCATGAAAACACACACTGTCTGCATGCTTTTGGTTAAGAATGAAAATAGAGTTCAGGGATGGGACAGAATGAAATTAAACTGTTTTCTGTTACCAAAAAGGTTTGGGCTAGTTGTAATTTCTCTTAAATTGGTTGGCTCTCCTTTAGTCACGAGGAAATCTAAATATTGTGACAATATAATGGCAACTTTCCAGTGTTGGAAAAGAGGAACAGAGTGGATGCAGAAAAAAAATGAAAAACTGTTGGTGGCAAGCTTGCTAGATTTGTGAGTGCTGCTCTTGTGTGAGAGCTTTACAAGGCTGTAGTGACTCTCAGTGGCATAGCTCTCCTCCCACTCTTGACTTAAGCATTCATAAGCTGCCTCAGAGAAGGGAGGGTGTTGCTTTTCCTTTGCATCTTCTTTCCTGCTAGGAATTTCCTCTGGAACACTTCACCTTCTTTATTTTCCTACCTTTATTTATCCTCCATCAGGTGTTTTTCCTGTTTCCCTGCCCCTTGTGGCTGAACACATTTCTCTCATTCCTTTAATGACTGTGCATGGGAAATGGAGCCCATTCCTAATTAGTACTTACAAAGAAGTGTTAATACATCATGCTGCATAGGTGTATGCCGGGGCTGGAATCTGTAAAAGGGTCTCATTGCCATCATTATGTGTCCCTAACCCTGTCTGAGATCCCCCTTGTGTTATTCTTTTGCACTTTCATTCACAGGATTTTTTTTTCTCTTTTAGCACTTCCTTCTTTCTGTCTAGATTTTTTATTTTTGAATAAGCATCTGTTCTAGTAGAGTAAAGGAATTTAGTGCAATTGAAAGACACAGTGTTGTCAGTCCTAAAGAATGAAATCTCCTCTGCTGAATGAGTAGATTGCTCCCAGCCACCATGCCTCTACCCAGACTTGGATGGATAGTCTCTGGGAATAAGAAGGTTGTTCAGTCTCCATGGCCCATTCAGCTGGGGGCACATTTGCTGAGACTGCAAGGAATGGCAAAACCCATCTCCCAGCTCAGAATGATTGCCAAGCATTAACTCGGACGTTGTCAAAGCTTCCTTGTTCCAGTGATCCCGGAAGGCATGTTATTGAAGTCAGAGGGAGGGGAGAGGGAGTGTTGCCTGGCTCTGATAAACTGATGTTTCTCTCACTTTCATACTAACCGCCCACCAGACCACAGGGAACTCTGTTAGACATCTGGCTGCCTTCACAGCTATGAATAGTGCCCACTACTGTCAGTGCTGCTTTTTAAGAGATTGGGATATAGTTCATGTCTATTTGAGATGTCTGGGAATTTTGTAGTGTGGACAGGGAAGTTCATTCACAAGGAGACAATTGGCCTTTAAAGGTTTGGAAGCAGTCAAGTGGAAGTAATAGCCTTGTCACCTTCATACATATCCAGGATAAGAATCCACACCCAGTTAGGAATTGTGACAGAGCCTTGTGAAAGCTGCAAATGAAGGGGATAATGCCTGGGATTTTCCACACATCCCTCCTGTTTCCTTCTTATGATGGCCACTTTTGCTACAGCATGACCACATTCATCTGCTGCAATAATAGCCAGCCTTGAGAGGAGACATGCCCATGGGAGGCTGAGTGATATCCAAGATGATACACAGTAGCCTGCAAATGCAATATTTAACCAGAGCAACAGATGCAACTCATATTGCAAAATGCCCAGGATAGAAGATGTGCCCATCATTTTATAAGTTTTTCTCCCTTTATTTGCAAATTCCTCTTTGCTTTTCAGAAACAAAGCATGATCCCAAAATGACGGAACCAACATGTGATATCATGTGTCAAGTACATATGATAGCTTTCTCTGTGCAGCTGAAATTAGATGCATTTAGCTGTCAGTTTTCATGCTAGTTTATCACCTGAACATATGGGTTTTTCTTTGGATTGCAGGAGAAGATCCACGGCACAATCTGGCATGACATTGATGACTTAAGGGCTTTCAAAGTTTTGGACCTGGAGGATTTTGAAAAAATGTTCTCAGCTTATCAAAGACACCAGGTAAGTATGCAGGCTCTTTTCTTCAGCATCTCAGACCCTGCTTTTCTGGTGATTCTGGATCAGGTTGGGACATGGTAGGATGACTAGAGCTAGCACCAATGTGAAGACTAGCGGAGGGTTTATGTTTCACTGAATGTTTGATACTCCCTACAAACTCATGAGGCTCAGGTGGGGAAATGTTGACAAGAATACAACCTGCTGTTGCCTGCATATTTATTATTAACACAGCTCTTGGAGCAGAATTCTCTTACCCTTTGTGTGCCTAAATGGCAGATATCTGGCCATGTAAGTAGCCTTTTTGGCACTTACATGCTGTGTATCATTCTGTTGCCTCTGCAATGCGCATGTATGCTATAGAGTGCGCACTGACTGAGCAGGTACACAGTTGTGCCCACTGTGGATACGAGAAGCACAAAATTATAGTCAGAAAAAAAACTTGCATGTCTTGCATGGCTTCCTAGCACAGTATTATAAACATTGGCTGCCTATACACGTGCTCGGAGTGGGGTGTGCTTTAATTAGAGTGGTTCCTGGAGTTTTACTCTAATTAAGACGCCTCATCGTCACATGTATTAAGCCCCACTGTGTTTCAAAACGGCTGCAGAGGCAATCTGACTAAAGGTCATTTGACGAATTTTGAAACGTTAATTTTGAAACTTGAGGGCAGCTTAATAAATGTGATGTTGAGGCAACACTGGAGCGTTCTAATTAGAACACGGAGCAGGCTTGATTAATCAAAGTAAAAGAGGTACACGTTCAAATCCTTTTGGGTGAACTAATCTATTCAGCTACTGGGGCTAAAATATGGGGGAGTCCTTTTCTTGGTTTATTCCCCAGACTCTATGCTCAGGTATACAGCTATGTAGCTGCACACCTGCTTGGCCAGTGCATAGCCAAGCAGGTACATGAGCAGTACACATGCTTGCATATCCACACCAAAGGCAATAACAGAATTACAAACTGTGAGTAAGTGCTGCAAAGGCTTCTTCCATAGCTGGGGAATGTGCCAGGCAGGGCACCTAAAGGGTAATAGAATTTTGTTCTTGGAGACTGCTTATTTCAGCAGGTGGTGCTCCAGTTTGATTGGAGTAACAACTAGCTTCTGTAAAGTTCTTAAACTTCATGCTCTTCGCCATGGTTCTTTCTATCTTTATTTCTTCCATCCATCCATGGAAAAACTCTGGGGACCTACAGAGTATTGAGCAGTGCCACCAAATTAGCTACATTTTGCTTTGTGTCTTTTTTTCCAAACAACATGTTAGCTAAGGTGCCTGAATTACAGAAATGGTCAAAGCTGAAGATTATAATGCTAACAACATACTTTAAAAGCAGTAATTTATTAAAAGGTCTTTTGCCCCCCCCCTTCTTTTCTTGGAAAGCGAATCACCTGCAATTTGTCTGCCTCTGCTGAATGATATTCAACCGAAAGGAAACTGTACTTCTAACCCCTTTATTCCTCCAGCTTTCTGTAACACTTGTAATGTACTCAGGAAAACCAAGTGTGTCCCAAATGTATGGGGTCAAACCACTGCTGCTTAGTCTCGGGACATGCACAGGAAATAAGCAGGAAGTTACTGGCAAGGTGCTGAAATGGTGCTCCATTTGGCACCATGGAATCATTGCCCAAGTAGCTTGAATTGACATGGGCCCATGGTTGCAGCAGTGTGGCTAGCAAGATACCATTCTGATGCAGTGGTTTTGCATTAACATGTGACATCAAGATGCAAACATTGAAGCTTCAACCCCAGGCTTTCCAATCTCTTGCTTTCTTTGGGCCCCTAAATCCAAAGCCAAGGCTATCTTTGTCTGCCAACTCTCAGTTAGGAACATAATATTTATGGCTGCATTACCAACAACTGAAAAGCAATTTGGCTTATTTGACCATAAACTAACCTGCCCCTAACCCTTTCCCGCTAGCATTAAGTCATCCCTTGTTAGTGACCTTGGTGCATCTCAGAACAGTCTTTTTGATCCTCATTTAAAGAAAAGAATACTGTGGTATTTTTGACAACGGCCTCAGACACTATAGAGGGAAATGTAGTTATATTTTTGTACTAAGGTGCATTGATGCCATTCCAGCTTTGGTTTCAATTTTAAACGTTTTTTTTTAAATACTCTTTTGCTATTACTTAATATTATCTTTTTCATCTATGCTTGTCCCAAATGCAAACTGGATTCCAATTGACAAATCCACACCATTTAAAAAAAAAAAAAAGTCCAAGCAGCTAAAATTGCTCCTGAATCAAAATCTGATGATAACTTTTCCAGTTGATTCACACTTAGTCTTTTCTTCCCTTTTATATTTGGAAATGCTCCACTCGGGCCAAGTATGTGTTTACCCTGGGTTCATGACTTCATTTAAACTTTAAACTTCATCTAAATGTCTACAAAGAAAAATGTCAAAGCAAATCCCTTCTCTTTAGCATCTGAATTACACAGAGTGCAAATAAGGCATTTCTTTCTTTGCTGCTATTAACATGGTCTTAATATTTTTTTCCAGTTTCATTTTTATTAAACTGCTTCTTTTTAAGGCAAAAGGGTTTGTTCTCCCCTTCTATGGCAAATGTGTCTTTTGTTGATTGCTTTGGGGAGACGGCAGTATTCCCCCCAGCGAACAGACCTCTGAACTAAGAGGCCTCTTAGTTTCTCTCTGGCTCTGCCATTGACTCATGGCATGAAGCTGACCAAATTCCCTTAAGTCTGTGCATCTTAATTTCCCCATCTACTAAAGGGAGATGACCATAACAAGTACCCACATTGGAATGATGTGATAAGACTCAGTTGTTTAGTATTTGTAAAGTGCTTGGAGATCCTGGGTTGAAAATGTTTATAAAGTGCAACCAGGTTTGAATACTAAAAGTGAGCTATTGACATGCAAAAGGAGAGGTGAACAAACCCAGATATGTTAACCTTGGCAGTTTTGAATAAAGTCTCTGGCTCAGATTCTTACAAGAGTTTAGGCATCATTCTGCTCAGTATCACAAGGCCTAAGTAACTTATATTCCTAATCTGATTTTCCAGAGTGCTCTTGTGTTTCTAAGTCCCATTGGCTTTAACAAAAGGGAATGCCTAAACACCTTTAGAAATCTGGGCTTATGATACTTGCTAAGCATTTTAGTTTCTTAGAAAATGGTGTATGTCTAAATTCTGCTGCTTTGTTAAACTTTGATATCTTTATCTCTGTGACTAATTTTTGGCATGTTTCCTTCTCTGTTATTTGCGGCTGGTGCCTGTATAGGACCTGCTAACTAACCCTTCCTCCTGTAAGCAGGTGAGTACCACTGTCTGCCTCCTAAATACGTATGGCTTTCAAGATTGTCCTGCTGTGTGCAGATCAAAGGCCAAAGTACAGCAACCTGCAGATTTGGAGTCTTGGGGTACTCTTGTCCTTGATTATTTATCTGCCCTTGAATGGATATTCCAGGGGTGCATAGGAGGTACAAAGGATTGCCTATTTGTCCTCACTGCAATGCTGAGAAGAAGCCATTCACTCATCTGTGTCAAAATGTGTTTGCCCCCATCCACTTTCTACCAGAAGGTGAATCTTAATCACACATTTAAATAGTAACCTGGTCACATATTAGTGTCATTTTAAGACATGATAATACAGTGAATGAGCTACAAAGTTAAGGTATAATGTGCAAAAACTTTGTGGCTTATTTGTATCATGCCTTAAATTGAACATGTGGCTGGTTGAGGCTGGCCCATGACAGATCCTGATATTCAGCTGAATGTCAGGATCCAGGTTGGGGCAGCCCCAGGGTCTGGGGCACAGCTGTCCTGACAGCCCGATCCTGGGGTCCTATAATCCAGGACCTGCTCAGCTGTGCAGCTCACATGGTTTAGTTACCTGCCCCATAATTAATAGAGGGCACTTCAAGGTGAGGTGAATCTCTCAGAAGTGAACTTATGGGTACAGTCATATGATGGAGTTTGAAAACCTGATCATCATGCCTTGGGGAACTGAAAGTGCCAGGAAGTCCTATAAGAACCACTTCTACTGAGGGGAAGCTGATATATGATTGTGGTCAGCTCTCTAGTATTCAGCATATTAAGTGACATAAAAGAATAAGGTTGTATTTAAAATAGTGGTTTCACAAGGCAGCTGGAATTACTGGTGTCCAATGGTGTAGCACAGCATTAAGGGGTGGGATCATACATCACACAGCCCCCTCCCCCAAACCAAATCACATTTGGAAGGAGATGGTGATACAGAGAAGTTATTCCATATCTCTACTGTTCCTTGTCTTGGCACTCCCAAGTCTCTCATGGTGGATATTTTTATGACAGTCTTAAACTTGTGATTACCTTTGAACCTGCTGTGTCCTGTTTAGCATATGACAAAGTGCTGTCCCATCTGAAAGCCACCTAAAACTGGCAGGGTAATATTCAGATGCTTTCATAGTTTCTAGGGTTGGAAGGGACCTGAGTAGATCATCTAGTCCGACCCCCTGCCATGGCAGGAAAGAGTACTGGGGTCAAACGACCCCAGCAAGGTGTTCATCTAACCTCCTCCTAAAGACCCCCAGGGTAGGAGCCAGCACCACTTCTCTTGGAAGTTAGTTCCAGATCCTAGCTGCCTTGACAGTGAAGTAGCGCCTCCTGATATCTAGCCTAAATCTACCCTCTGCCAGCTGGTGACCGTTATTCCTGGTCACTCCTGGTAGTGCTCGGGGGAACAGGGACTCCCCCAATGCCTGCTGGTCCCCTCTGACTAGTTTGCAACAGGCCACTAGATCCCCCCTCGGCCTTCTCTTGTGGAGCCTGAACAGGTTCAGGTCCTGTAGCCTGTCCTCGCAGGGCCTGCCCTGCTGCCCACTGATCATGCAAGTGGCCCTCCTCTGGACCCTCTCCATGTTGTCCACATCCCTCTTGAAATGGGGCGCCCAGAACTGGATGCAGTACTGCAGCTGCGGCCTGACCAGTGTCACACAGAGGGGGAGGATCACCTCCTTGGACCTGCTTGAGATGCATCTGTGGATGCATGACAAGGTGC